ATAATGTAGAACTAAATTTCTATATATAATATAAGACAGTGTTAACATATCATACATCAAACACAGTTTTTCAACAATAAATAAACTAACAAAACAGGATATATAAATATGAAAGGATATTCTTTATTCTATATAAAATAAATTATTCTCCTTATAATTAACATAAATTATATATAAAAATTCATAAATCATGAGAACACACGTCAATATATATATCATAATAATAAAATTTAATGAAAAATATATGTATTATTCAGTGAATACAAATATAAAAAACAGATATTGTAAACAATACAATAAGTCCTAGAAATAAATCATAATAATTTAGAAAAAATTATAATAATAAATATAAATATAAAAACATAAAAGTAAATATAAAACCCTAAATCCTGAATCTTGGATATTTTTTATCCTCCTATTTAATTTATATGTATGTTATATAATTATTAAATATATATTTTACAAAAGGAATAGTGTAATTTCATTTATTTTATGAAGCATTATATATATGAATGGACTATTAGTGCATCAAATGATTTCAGGATTAAAATTATTAAATTAATATATTTCATATTACTAACAATACCGATATAAAAACTATTCTGCGCCGTAACCTATATACTGATCTTGTACATCTTCATAATAAGGATTATGGTATTCTGAATAATCAGTAGATAAAGAATGCTTTACTTCACGTAGGTTATGTATAACATTTTCCCTCCTTCTAATTACATTTCCTAAATATTTTTCCATGGGTGTAAACTGTCATATTGAAAAATAACATGATATATGTAATATATAAATTTATTATATAAGGCTATGTTATTTGGTTCATTACCATGTTTTATGATTTATCTAAAATAAAAAAATAGTATTTACCTTATAGAATAAGCCTAAAGTTATTATAGTGAGAAATACTCCTAGAATTACGCCACCAAAGGTTGTCATAGTATTTTTTTTGTCATAATTTACCTTGATTTCATCAAAAGATTTTGTTTCATCAGAAGATGTTGTTTCATCAGAAGATGTTATTTCATCAGAAAATGTTGCTTCATCAGCAGATGTTGTTCCATGTTTTTGAAATACAAGACTATCTTGCTCATTTTGAAGAATATGTGACCCTTGTGATGGTAATTCTTTTGGATCATCAGTTCTTCGTTCCTCATAGTTATTGCATCTATGGGAATCTAAAAATTTTTCTGGATCGCATTTCTTAAATGTGCTAATTAATACTGGACATTCAGGTCCACTCGTATCGTTACAAAATTTCCTATAATCATTATATAGACTGATTTTATCACTAAAATAATTTTTATATTCCTTACAATCTTCCTTATCAGGATCAAATGATTGCTCATATTTTTCAAAGTCTATGCAATAATCAAAAAAATTCTTTCTCTTTTCCCAATCTTCGTCTGATTTTATGTAATAAAATTTATTACAACTAAATAAACTGTATATACTGGAAGGATTGACTGTGGTAAACCTATATAATGCTTCATGAATTTTAGGATAAATACTGGTAGCCTTACATTCTATTCCCTTACACTTTTTTAATAATTGTTCATATAACCAGTAATTCAATAAATTGCAGAAATCATCCTTGATAGTCTCTATATATTTGTTCTTATGATTAAATTCAATCATTAAATGTTGTCTTAATTTTGAACAAAACCATTTAATATTTAAATGATTCTCTAACGTATTATCATTAGGTAACGAACAAAAGAGGTTTACATTGTGTACACCTTCAGTTCCTTTATTTAAACTTTCATAAAATTTTACAGAAGTTAAATCACCTATCTTAATATTCTGAAAATTATAATAGAATAATTAAACAGTTAACAATATAATTATTTTAATATTCATGCATAATTATGTTTTTATTACTAGTTATGAAATGGATATATTTATGAATATTATAATTAGATAAAATTCCTTCTAATAATTTTAGAAGTTTACATACATTTGTATTCTCTTGAGACATTATTGTATTATATAATATGTGGCATGCGCAAAATTAAAAAATTATTAATCTAAAGTGACACCTAACTATTTATTATCATATATTTTATGTAGTAACTTGGAAAACATCTACACAGTTATATAAATAAATTATTTTTTCACTGTATAATTAATATATATAATTTACGTTCACAAAATTATATTCAATTAGGATTATTTTATCAATTCTAATAATATTATCGTGTTTAACGAACACCTTTTTGATGTTTGTTATTATATAAATAATAATAGAAGCTTAACAAAATGATCATCCATAATATTTATAAATTATATCCATGTATTATAAAAAATATGCATGAATAATTAGAAGTAATATAAATTTAATAAATTGATATTGCTTAACGTAAATAAATACTATACTTTTACATATATGTATTAGAGATAAATCCATTTGATCAAAAATAATAATATAAACAGTTGAACGCATATCATTACCATACATATATAAAAAATATTTATACATCAGTATAATTCATAAAAAGTAAATTTTTTTTAATTTTTTAATTTATTTAGTTTTTTTAATAATTATTTTACACATAATAGATATTTAACTCAACAACAAAAATTTATAAAATAAATAATAAATATTATATTATACAGTGACCGTATATTTATTTTATTGTAGTATACTCAGATAATATTTTATGTATGTTAACTATTATATATTCTATTCCGTTAATATTATGTGAACTAAGATTATGCTCCTAAATATTATTAATCCATGATTAATAAAGCAAAATATAATTATGCATATATTTAATTGTATGCGTAAATGATATTACGTATAATAATATATATATGTTAATTATTTCGTTTAGTGTAGATATTAGCACACTGACACGTAACATTATCCATAACTCATTCAATATTAATTATAAATTATATGAAATTAAATATTTATATATAGTTATAATAAACTTAACAACAAATATTAAAAAGTGTTATAGAAAAAATTTATTTAATTTATAAAAAAATTTTTCACAATGCATAATTTATTTTTTCTTATTTTTTATATTCATGTAAAAAATAAATACTAGTCAAAGTCAATATGCTATCGATTGTGTATTGCATAAAAATTGTACTTTTCAAATTTATATTTTTATAATATAATTTATTAATTTTAGGGATATGAAAGATAATATTTTTCTTTTTGTTACAGGGTTTAGGATTATGTATATTATTGTATATTTTTGTGCTATATTATCCCTTTTCTACTATCTTTAATGAAATATGTTTGTAATCAGGTTTATAGTATGTATTGTAAAAAAAAATATATATATTAAACATTCAATGATATTTATAATATTGGTGTGAATATTTTTACGTCTAATTCATAATAGTATATATTATAGTGTGCATTAGTTATAAAATATATTGCTTATACACAATGTTTATCAAGAAATGTGTCATAGGCAATATAGATTAAAATAAATATTTTGTTGTTTTCTATTTTATACAAAATATGATTATTTTAATAACATCTATATAATTTTCATTAAGAGGGATATATTTTCTTACTTTCTTTTGTCAGGTATTTTTATTTTTGTTCACGATAGAAATGCGATTTATTTATTAAAAAAAAAAAAAATCTTCTTTGAATACATGAATTTCTCCATTTTCACATTGCATTCAATGAGTGCTAATTATATATTATTGATGTCAATAATAATATATGAATGAGCTCCATTAAATATGTTATATATAATTTTGATTTATATATCACTATCTTATTTTCATTATTGAAAGAAAATATACAAATTTCTTTTTATTACACGTTATATTCTTTGCATATTTTAAAAATTCACAAATCATTTTATATATTTTTATTTTCCTTAGTTCAAGAAATATCTATTTATAATTATAAATTTACAAAAATAAATTTTTTTTGTAAATATGTAGCTACTGCTTTGTAACAAGTGTAAATATGGTATTTTATAAATACATTCATATTTATGAAATGTTAATTGCTTTGAATAAAATAATATTTTAAAATATAATTCATAATTACTGTATATTTGAAAATATAAAAACACTCTTTAATTAATAAGAACATTTCTAGGTGACATGTTATACATTTTTGTGTATGTTTTTATTAAGCGATATCATTGCTTTAACATATTGAAATTGTTTATACAGAAGAGGCATATTAACATAATTAGTTATAACAACCTTTAACCCATATCAATAAAATATATTATATTTGAAGCTATGTACGTATTATTTAATTTTTATAAATCTCATGGTTACATTAAAAAAAAAGGATTATTATATTTTTAATCATAATCATATTTATTAATTAATATGTAACTGAATATATTACTAGCTAATTTGCGGTCAACAATAGTACCATATAATTATTATTATTTTAATTACAACATTTACATTCATTGTTATACCATATTCTATGTATTTTATAAAATAGTATACAATAATATAATTTATGATATGCTATTATTTTTTTACCTCTAATATGAATTTGCAAAAAAATTTTTTGATTACCATGTGGTTATAGAAAAAAAAGCATGGTATTCTGGATCCTCTACTGATTATTATTGCGAAACAATTTATCAATGAACTTTAGAATGTACTAAAAATAATGGTGATCATATATGCCATAGATTTATGCAGCACGCACATAAAATTAAAGAATAAAATAACATAAGTTATCCAGGATATATATACATACACTAATTGTTATATAATCAGTGTCACGAAAAATGTGAGAGCGCAGAAATATAAATAATTTTAGTAAATTAAAAGAAATGTATGATGAAACTGAGGAGACAATATATACTAATAATAATGAAATTAATGTTATGGAAGTACAGTTTGAAAGGATAAATGATAAATATAACATAAGCATAAAACATAGAAGCACTGATAATAATAATTATAAAGAATAATAAAATGTATTCAAAAGAATATATATGAATGTCAAGAATGAATGTTATTGCAATAAATATTCGTATTTCCGTAAAACATTTGAAAAATATATAAATATATACAATGTATACGTAAAATCCATAAATCCATTAAAATTAAAATAACAAATTTTTCCCCTTTACAAATAATACAATATAATAACCTATATATATATTCCAATGATCCTAATATTTGTAATAGTAGTTCTTTTATTTGTTGTGTATAACGTTAGTTACAATATCATTTATATTTTTATGCTACAGAATAATTTTCCTAAATAATTTGAAAAAAACAGAATTCATAATATCAAATTTGCATGATTAACATATATATTTATTTTTATTTTGAACAAGTCCACATAAATTCGTTCATTTTTGCACCATAAAATAATAAATAAAAAAAGTATCCACAGCAGTATAGAAGAACGGATAAATGCTCTTAATTATTTAGATATATCTAACAAAATTTCATGAGACAGAAAATATAATATATTTTACAATTATGATAATTGTTAATATTAAACCTACAATTAATTAAAAATTATAATTTAAAAAAATATAGAGATTTTTATGATAATTACACGAAGAACGTTCCTATATAAAAAAAATATAATTATGAAATATTTATTGCTATATAAATAAATGCAAAAAAAACATTAAATTGTTTATTCAATACAATAATCCTTAAAATAAATAATATAATTGTAATAAAAATAGTATTATGTATAGATACGTGTAATGAATATGAGAACTGTAATTAATATAAAGATTCCTCGTTTTATATTATTTTAAGTTACATGAATATGTACAACATAATTTATAAAATGATATAACATATACATATGAATAATGCACATTATAGTGTAATAAAGTTATGTATATATATATATTATAAAATGTATTATAATTAAGAAAATTATGGTTAATTTCTCTAAATATTCCATGCTATTTTGATATATAATATTAACAAAAAATATATTTACATTAATTTTATATACGTATTCATAAATTAGCTTAATATATATGTATGTTCATTATATTTCTATATAATATCCTTTATGGAATTAAAATTATATACATCCTTCATGTATATTTTACATATATCTGCAATATATTGACACAAATGTTTTGTTAACATATCCATGTATATAAATTATAAGACGTATATTATTTCTTGCTTTATTTATTCTTTCATTCTTTTTATATTATTATTCCATTTTTTTTTTATTTTTTAATTATTACACTTAATTTAAAAAATATTTTAGTAAATTATATGTTTCTTTCATTCAATATTAACAAAAAAAAAATAAAAAATTATGTATTTATTATAATTGAAACATAGCTACATCCAAATTTATTTAATATTAAAAATCATTACTCTAAATATATTTTAATAAAAAAAAAAATAATTTCTTTCTATTTACGCTTAATTTAGTTCTCTAAATATTTTTTTGTTTAAAAATTATATACGAAAAAATAACTACACCAGAGTGTCACAGATTTACTAATAAAATATATGGTATAACATAAATTATGAAATAGTACTATCATATAAAAAAATAGCACATTTCAATTTTTGTTTATTATTAATGTTTTAAATCAAAAATCCTTACATTAACAAATGGCTACATGGTATTATATAGATTATTTGTACAACAATATTTTATGTAAAATTGAAACATATATTACGTATTTAAAGGTAAAAATGTTCAAAATAAATAAGAAATGGATATATATAAATTACCAATTTATTTTAAGAAATAATGTGAGCACTACGTATTGTATACATTTTCTGTAATATAATATTTATAATACATATGCTAAACCTTCAAAATAATATACTATAGTTATGTTAAAAATAATTTATATGATTTTTTTAATATTACTCTATTACATAGAACTTCTTGTGCTAAGCATCAATTATTGTTATATTTTAGTAACAATCACTAGTATATATAAGAAATATAAATGTCATGATACTAAAAAAGCAAAATTAACAAACATATTCTGTAAAGTATATAATTGGTAGAACTATATAATCAGTGCATAATTATTAATAGTCTTTATTAAGGTATAATTTACATTATAATTAATATTAATTTGAATAAAATATAATTTATTCTGTATTCATATAATTTTTGTTATGCATTTAATCGACATAATTATATAATTTTTTTTATAATTATATACATCATTTCACGAAATATTTCATATATTTTGAGTAAGATATATAAAAAATTTAAATAATATATGATAAATAAAAAATTACCAAAAATTCTATAATTATGTAAATAATGATGTTTTATATTTTATAGATATATTTTTTTTTATTTTTAAAAGAAAATAAGAATATATGCAAAATAAATTATGAATAAGTTTAATAACTGTATAACTCACTTATATTTATATACCGTATAACTAATGTATTATATTTATACATATAATACATAAGTAGTTATTATAATTTAATGTTATATATATAATTATTTAAATAATACGCTCGCATTATATATTTAAAAAAAAAATCTATAATAGTGCCCTATATTAATACTTAAGGATACTATTATAAACCATGATTTAAAGGAATTGTAGAAATATATGAATTACAAAAATTTATATACAAGTCATAAATGTAATATTTATTTGAACACTTTTAGTATATAATATTTTATGAGCAATAACAAATAAAAAATTCTTCCGAGTTAAATAGCATTTGTTAAACACCATGAATGTGATAAGTGTTAACAAAAATGTAGGTTTATATTTTTCTCTATGATTATAAATAATGTCTTCTATGCTGAGAATACCATATCATATGAAGATCAAGTGCATTATTTATATATTATAGCATATATTCTAATTTATTTTAACATTTCAATCTCTCTGTTCTGTTTGATTTCAAATATATTTATCCTATATGCATGGATGATTATTATGAGACCACAAATGTTCATATAAATACAAATGGGAAAGCATACATAACACTGTTCCATGAGGTAGATAAAAATGTAGTAAATTCTGATTATATATTTATTGTTGATTGCCAACATATTACCTTATATTTAAAATATATTAAAAGCAAAAGAACTAAAAAAAAAAAAGTATTATGTAAATATTTCCACTATAATCTGAATAATAGACTAACGTCATTGAATCCTTCTTTAAATAAAAAATAAATGTAACAAATTAATGAAAAGTGTATATGTCAAAATAAAAGAAGAGTATAATGAATTTAATACATGCAATGGTCATATTTATGATTACCATGAAGGATTTGTTGATATAATGAAAAAAATTAAACTCTGTACTATAATTTCTAATCATTAAATGCTGATGCATACGCATGCAAAAATACATCTATCTCCTAAGAACATTTTATGGAACATTTATAAATAAATAAAAAAGTTAATAATAACATTTTCCTTCATGTGCGAAAGAATTCAAAGTTAAATATAATGAGTACATAGGGACAATGAGTTATTGTTTAAATGCTCCCAAAATCATAGATTTCTATTATTCAAGATATACGCATAAGATTTTTCTAGGTTCATTTGGTATAATGATTTCTATATTAATAATTATGCATATTTTATATAAGGTTAATAATATAATAATATTATAAAATTTAAAATGTTAAAATTAATAACACACACACTTATATAATTTTAATATCATATAAATGCAACATTAATAAAAAAATAAGTTCATTTGTTTATTTTCTGTATATACTTTATGGATCATATATAAAATCAACTGTAAGGATTCCAAAGAATTCTTGAAAAAATGAAGTGGATTATCTAAATTCAGTGATTCATATGAAACAGAATACCAAAATTTTATTAAAAACAATTATAAAGTATTATATAACACTATATAATACTAAAAAATAAAATTACTCATAATGAACACATATTATGTAATCGAAAGAAAATTTTATTATAATTGAACGATATTATATTAGAAGGTAAAAAAAATATTATACAAATATAAAATTCTAAATTAATAAATAAATAATAATATGATTCCTAAAATTGATATAATATAAAATAAAAAATTGTATATCCATATGGAACACATAGCTGGTAAATGAAATGTAATTATAAATATTATGCATTTTATAAATTAATGAAATAAACATATTAAAAATATTAGACATTACAATAAATAATAATCATTTCACATATATAGTCAATATATAGTAATATTTTTTATAAAATAATATTTTAAGAAGAAATAAGTACCTATTGTGTCTAATTAAAAAAGAAATTATACTTAATAAAATATAATATAGGTTCATAAAAAAAAATTGTATTGTATAAGCTATCATCCATAAAAAATAATTCTAAATTGTATTATTATATATAAAGTAATATATAAATGTTAAACCATTTAATATTTAGTATAACCTAGAGCATTCGAATTTATTGGTAATCACAATATAGGTTACATATATATTTATCTATTATTAGCTTGCTAAGATAAGATTATTTCCATATTATTGAAGGAATTTGTGAAAAATATATATAGCATATTTAATTACGTCTATTTGTGTTGATAATATTGAAATTTATTCAATATATTTGTATTAAAAAATTTAAATAATGTGTACAATATTTTAAATTACAATTTCCTATCCATATAATACTGTGTGTCAATAATAGAAAAATAATGTGACTTCTATATATATACACTGTATCTCTATTACGACTTTTAAATATATTTTTTTGCATTATATCATAAAATATATTTGTTGAGTCTATGTATATATAGTAAATATAAAGTTATATTTTTACGGATAAATATATATTTTTTCTACCTTTTTTATATTTGATGAATACTCCATACTTCTGTAACTCAGGAAAGTCAAAATATATAATTGTTATTATTGCAATTATTTGTAAAAAACAGAATTAAAACAAAAAATTTTGTAATTTTAAAGAACACATATAAAATATTAAACGAAATCATAAGATAGAAAGCAAATTATAAAAGGTAAATTAATTAAATATAATACATATATATGTATATAACTGAAAAGGATACCATGTTCAGTATAATATTAATTTATATAAAATTAATATAAAATTCTTTTTATTTATTTTATTTAAAAAAGCTAATATTGTTCTTATGTTTTATATTTCTAATAGTTATATTCTCCTCAAATCCTTTTCATTTTTTTTACTATGAACACACACAAAAAAAAATAATTTACAAATATATTAAAATTAATTTATAATACATAAAAGCACATTTTTTATATATGTTATGTTTTTTTATGCCATTTTCAAAGCTTAGCATTGTTTAAATTTTTAAATCAAAAGTATCTTCATTTACAAGATTTACGACTTAGAAAACACGTTTATTAAAACAAAATAAAATTTATTTTAACATATATACATATTCATATTCATTCCAACTATATAATATATAATTAAATATAAACAAGATGTCCATAATTTTTGAAGCTCTTAGAAGTATTTTACTAGATATGTAATATATTTAAAAATATATTATATATACATCAATAAATGAACGCATATATACTTAAAAAATACGTTAAACATAAAGAATATTATTTTAAATATATATACTATTGTATTATTCTTTAATTAAAATAATTATCTTACATGATCTCAATTAATATAAAATTTTTTTAATTGTGTATTATGGTAGCTATATATGATTGTTGTGCTCACGTTTATACCTATTTTCCACATGGATTACTATAAAGTTATATTTTTTTTAATACATATGTACATATAATTTAATATTTAGTATACTTATGTTAATGTTTTACGTATTATTTAAAAACATAAACATATATATTGTTGGTGATTAATTTAAGTAATTATAGCTCTTTTTATTTTATTGAATTTTTGGTACATGCTGAGATATTTAAAGTTGATTCATTCAAGATTTTCACATATTTTAACTAATTCTTTTACCTTTTCCCTTAGATAGTATTTTATATTAAGCATCAACATGTTCTATTTATTATATTTTTTTTATATTATTAGTTACATATCTTGTTAAAATTATAGTGAATATGCAATTATTTCTTATATGATAAAATGTTAAATGTTGATTGTTAATGGATTATATTTAATTATAATAGCATTCATATTTATAATATGTATTTTTATATATATATTTTTTCTCTTTTATATAGTAAATGTACTTATTGTTCCTCTCGTAGTAATAATTCAATATTGCATCTTTATAAGTTATTGAAAATTAAAAAACAATGTTCTCCTTGATATTATTTTATCAAAATATTAACATACGTATAAGTAAATTTTTTTTTATAATAATTCATTTATTTTATTGAGTTTTTTAAAACAAACTAAACTGATCTCTGTAACTATGTTTATACATTTAGTGCCTATAATTAGCTGAACTATATGATATTTTATGCTCATCATCAATTGAATTTTTGTATTCAACGTCAAATCTACCCATAAAATCCAGATAATTTTTGTTATTTTTTTTCAGCACTTTTCTTAATTTCCTTACTCTTGGTTTTAAAAATGAAAAATAAGGGGTATACTGAAAAAAAATTTAAATAATATTTTTATATCTTGTTCATGCGTTTTATATAAATATATTAAAGTTATTTATAAAATAAATTATATGCAATATAAATTTTTTTATTTAAATTCACTTTTAACCTTATACAATATATATACAGTTACTAATATTGCAAATGTTAAAATAACTATTCCTGTGCCAGTACCTGCACCAGAATCTGTATAAGCGTCTATAATTGCACCAATATTCGTGTTTCCTTCTGTAGACTCTTCCTTTTCATTCGTTCCTAAAACTACTTTCAATATTCCATTTATGTAGCCATCCTGTTTAAGATATATTAATAAGATTTTCCCTTGGGGACCTTTTTCTTCCAATGTCTTCACAAAACTTATATAATCTGCATTGGCCTGTTGTAGTGATAATTTAAAACTGTCGTGATATTTATCTATGGATTTTTCTAAGTCTTTCAAAGCATATATAAATTTATAAATGTCAGATTTGTTGGGTAATGCAGCATTATTAAATGTGTTAAAAGTGCTATACAGATTATCAAGTTTTTCCAACGTACTAAATGTATCAGTGTCAATATTGATAACATGATTCCAACATATATCAGATATTTGTGCTTCGGAATTAATTCCAATTTTTTCTATAAGTTTTTCATAGCAATCCTTAGATCCACTGCAATTACAATCACGATTATTTAGTATATATTTTTTTAGCTTATAATAGAAGTATTTGCAACATGCTTCTTTATTATCATCATTTATACGTTTTGTAATATGATCCAAATATAGACTAAGAATATTACAATTATTAATAAAACTGTGATCACTAAGTGTATGACTTGTTACTTCAAGACGGAACGCACTACACAACGTTGTAAGTTTATGAAATAACTGATTTCCGGTATGAAGATGTGGCGCCCAATTGAATCCATTTATACAAGTGGGAAATATACTATTGAAATCGAGCTAAAAATAAAAGCAATAATATATACAAAAGGTAAAAAAAAAATTAAATAAACATTTGCGCTTTGATTTCAATAAACAAGATATTTTAAAATTATCTTTAAAAATTATAATTTTAATAAACATTTGAAACATACATCTTTCCCATTTATTTTTATTTCGCTCATTATATTTTATATAACCTGATTAATAAATAAAAAATTTTATAATTAAATCATATATGATAAAAACATCAGAATTAACTGTCAATTTATATCATATGTACTAATACATAAATTCATTTAATTATATATTTCATATTATGTTCATACATTTAATAAATTTTTCATATATTTTATACTGCAATAGCATTATTAATTCCGTTTACAGTGATTATTTTTTAAAAAAATAATGTAATTAAAAAATATGTGAATGTCTTACGATATATATTATAATATGAAGTTACGAATTTTATATTTGTAGTAATATTACATGTATAAACCATTTTCATAATACCATAAAGACATATAATAAAATATATTCTTTATGTAATATTATAAATAATTTTATTGTAATATATTTATTTTTATGGTTTTATTCAGTATATAAATTTGCTCTATACATTTATAACTGCAGTATTCATTAATTTTATATAGATACTTTAGGATTCAAGGATTATTATGAATAGTTCTGTATATATACATTTTCTGTTATTCATAGATTTTATTGTTAACTACTTTCGTGTAATGAATTATTTGGTAGTTATTAATACATTCATTTCTTTTATGTAAAAAATGTTAAAAATACACGAAATTAAATACCTTATTTTTATATAATTTATAAATAAGGTAAATACAATTTCTTAATAGCTTATTATTATATATCGGTTAATATTTACATATATAACAATGTAACTAAATATATTATTTCAATTTATATATACTTATAAAATATTCATACATTATTTTATATTAGGTTAATATACATGGATATCAAATATATATGTAAATGATAAATAAAATATTAAAGTTTTAAATTTTATATTAAATATTATACTTACAAATGTTTTATAATACTATTGATTAATTATATTTTTGTTTTATGCAATATAATATTTTAAAAAAATAATCATCTTATAAACACTAATTTTTCGTGTTTTCATGAAGAATATATATTTATTTTTTCATTTTACATAATTCAATGTATAATTAAATTTTAGCATTGTGTTACTATATATATTATATTTAAAGAATTATAATAAATTCAATTTATGTATGCTCTATGTGATAAATGTTTCATCTTAATACGAAAAAAACTAACTGACGCTATATGTATTTCTCTGCATAAACAAAATATAATAAATAAGTTAATACTTTCGTTTCTATTTTTGAATGTTATTCACACAGTGCTAATTTTATATTACTTAATTCTTATTTATTTTTAATTATTTATTTAAAAAGTGAAATGTATTATATGACTTGTTTTACTATTAAATCATTCTCAAAATATATTATAATAATTATATATATAAATTCTTGATTATGTAATATACAATAAATTGTGTTTTATTTATTATAAATATATAAAAAAATACATAAGGAAGAAATATACTAAAAGTATAAATCACATATATCAAAAAATTATATATTCTCATTAAATTAGTACTTTTATGAGTCTTCATATCTTTTACTATTTAAATATACACATGCTATACTATTCATTGTATAATTTATATAAACACAATTTTTTATTCTCATATTATTCATTAAATATAGTTTTTCTTATAATAATAAAATAATAGAGAAATATTTCTTTTTTATATATTCAATATAAAAATCATAAATTTATTTCAATAATATGATTGGAAATGTGTCAAAATTAATATATTATTATATAAAATCTGTTATTTGTATAAAATATATATATATTACAAAATTATTTTTCGTAATTAGATATATGTAGTATATAACACGCACACATAACTATTTTATTGTATGTTAATAAATTTTTTAAATGAGTACACAATGATCTTCAATACACAAGCATAAAATAATATATTACTATATAACCATATTAACGTATAAAAATAGTAACATATAAAGAATAATTTAATATCTAATTTTATTTTTCATATGGTATAATTTATTCAAAATGATCTATTTTTATAAATTATGAATATATTTATTACTTTTTTTCAAAAATTTTAGATACCAGTATTGAACATTTACCTAAAATGATCATCTATGTGAAGGTTTTTAATATTCCTATATTTATCCTGTACTTTCTTTCAAATATTTTTTTATATATTTTATTCTACAAAAATTATTATCTTTTGTACTGTAATCTAGTATATTGTTATGCCACTTAACAAAAATTTAGGGGGGATGCCTAATTAAAAATATTAAAGTTAGAATATATATTTTTTAAGCTATATCCTAATATAAATGAAATGAAAATATAAATATAAAGCACTAATGTGCCAAAAATATGATATATGGACTAAATTATATAGGTAAAATTATGAACATTGCCTCAATATATTTAAGAAAATTATTTAATATGTATATTTAAATTAAAAAATGAGCATCCAATTGAGTCGTATTTTGTACGTTTCATTTATATCATACATATGTTATATTAGAATCTTTATATGTATAGCCGTTCTAAAATTTAATAACAAATTTCAGTTTAATTTATATTAAAGAATATTTCATGTTATTACCTTTTTCAACTTTTTTGCTTAAATTATTATTATAAGTGTGCATTTTTTTGAAAATTAGTCTATATATTATTTGCTCATGAAATTTATTATAATATTATTATATACAAATATATTCTACTTCTGTTCCTGTTATACGATTGTTTTTATTTAATATGTAATACATCTTCATATATAATTTAACAGTATGGAAAATATTAGTGTTATACATTTCATTCATAATTCCAAATGCATATGTATCTGTAAAAAAAATTATTTATTAATTTATCTTCAATTTATCGGTTTCTATATGATATATATAATCAATACCGTTTTACTGTTCTTAAATTAAACCATATTCCAAAGGTGGTTCCTTTATTTAATTAGTGTTATTACAATAAATAAATCAAATTAATTTTTATAATCATAGTATGAATATAATATATAATAATTTATTAGATTATTAATATATGCTTTAATTAAAAATACCTTAATTGATAATATTACAATATAGAATACACTGCCCAAAAAAGTAGTTTTATAGGTTTTACAATGATTATTTGTATTTCCATTTTGTTCGTGAATAAAACCCAGTGATAATTGTTTGACGTGTAGTGAAACATCATCTTCAATATAATATTTTATTTCTTAATTTGACTTCTTCCATTTAAATTTATGTTTTTAGTATATCCCAAAACATGTGCTCCAAAAGACAATATATTAGAAATATTTTTTTTCTTATTTCTTATATTGAACATTATACACGTATTGTCCAAGTTATATATGTTGCTATTAACTACAGTATATACATGTATAGTTTTATTTCTTGCATATTTAGAATAATTAATAATCTTATATAAATAATTCATTATTCTACTATTTTGATTAGATATAATTATTAACCTCAAATCTTCGGAAATGAACAATTCGTATATATGAATAAGAATTATTGTAGAAACTGGTATCTATGTATGATCTTACGTGAAGTATTATATATCATATACTAAATTATTTAATAATAAATTAAACAATTATGATATACATATTAAGATATATATTTGATTTATATTTCAGTTAAGAAAAATAAAAAATGAATTTTATTAATAATAAAATAGTTAAAAATAATATACGCTTTCTTTGCACTTTAATATAATTAACCAACTATATATATATATATTAAATTCTCTTAACTGTGTAATAAAATAGATGTACTAGAAAAAATATTTGTGCTTAAATTTTCACATAGTTATTGTTTTTTATTTAGTTTAAAATTTTATAGGTTCTCATTGCAACAGGATTATATTACTATTTTTAAAATATTAATCAGACACTGTTGAGTTAAGAAATATTATAATATTCAATTGAGAGAATATTATTAAAATATTATTAAAAGATAATTTTTTATATAATTACGGTACCATATTAATAATTATTCCTAATTAAATCCTCATTATAACACAATTCATATAGCCTTATGTAAAATATGTATTTCATAAGTATTTTTAAACATTTTTTATATAAATATTTCTTTTCTATTATATATGCTTACCTAATTGTAATATATTTAACCTACATCAATGTATAAGGTATTAGGATATATATACTTAATTAATTGTTCTTTCCTTATATATATTTATTAAATGTATCAAGAAAAGTTATGTGTAATTTTGTAAGGAATGTTTTTTGTGTTCATAATAGATCTAGCACACTTTAAATATATTACATCATTTGAGTTATATCTCCAAAAAATTCTTTTATTTTAATTAGTTATTTGAACAATTATAAATAAATGCAAATAAATTATATAGTATTGTGTACAAGGAGAATTATATTCATAAAAGCCGAAATATATGTGGAATAAATTATGTGTACAAGTAATTGTTAAAACTATTAAACGACATTGGATAATCTAATACATAAAGTCTATATATACTGAAAATATTAAATAAAGAAAGTGCTAATAATGTTGCAACAGAAAATTGATATGAGTATATAAATAATGTGTTTTTGTCTATAGACAGATGATAGTAGGTTAATTGTATTATTTATGTTTTTACACAATATGAAATTCTATCAAAGATTAATATTTTCTTTTTCAGTAGAATAATTTTTATTTATTCCCATTTCGTACACATTTTTACAATCATCATTCATGTATAAAAAGTAGTTACATCTTAAAACATCTCATATTATTGAGTTTAATAAAAAACACATTTTTTTATTATAAGAAAGATTTATTAAATATTCATATTTTTTAATAACACCTCGATACCAAGATTTTGGTAGTATTTACCTGTACTACATTAACGTATTGCTAAAATCATTAAAGAGTGTTTTTCAAATTATTAATATATATTAACTACTAACTTTTAAATTAATTTCCAAAATATACAAATGCATATTCATAAATTTAAAAATTAATTCAGGATAGTTACTGGAATTTATTTGAATCCTGAGAAAGGGTATATATTATATAGAGAGAAAAATAAG